CAGCACTAGGGAGGCAGAGGCAGGTGGATTTCTGTGAGCTGGAGGCCAGCCTGGTGGTCTATAGCTTGAGTTCCAAATCAATACAGAGAAACCTTGTCTTGAGAAACAACACAAGAAAACCAAACAAAGTAAATAAAGTGCACCCCTGTGAGCCCAGCACTTGGGAGGGAGAGATAAGAGGACGGACAGTTTGAAGCTAGCCTGAGCTACATAGTGAGACGATGGTGAAAAGGAAAAGATGGAGGAGAGGACCTGATGGAGACAGGGGTGCCACGAACTCCGCCTTTGCCAGCAGGGCCTCAGCTACAGCTTTATGATTGTGAGGAACGCTATCTCTCCTCCATAAAGTCCCCCGCACAGCCACGCGAGCCCGCCCTCTGCGTCTGTAGAGTGGGAAGGGGCATGTTGCACAGCCGCTTAGTCGTTTTCACGTTTAGTAGACAGTAGCAGTTGCTGTTACCATTGTGCTCGTATTACAGCAGGGCGGTCACCCAACACATGTCCCACCTGACTCAATCTGTCACTCCCAGTTTCCCCCCCCCCCCAGTTTGTACCCTTGGGGAGACAAGGAGAGAATGGCGGTACACTGGGTTGTGATAGAGAAAGACAAATCAAGGTCTGAGTTGACTTAGCTTCTCGCCATTGCGCACTAGCTACTGACACACATTTTCATCTCGGGAGGTAATAAAAAGCACCCATTTCTTTCTCTCTTTAATTTTCTGTGCGAAGTTTTCCTCTTTAACTGGCCAGTTTTCGCCTTAGGCTAAAAATTAGTTTGGCTATTTTGCTTACATGACAGCTTGGGAGTTCTTAGAGACTGCACTTAAGTCAAGTGAAATTACATGTATAATAGCTGTTTTAGGTGGATGTCCAGAAAACAATAGGTTTTTCTATGATTTTTCCAATTCCCTGATGGTTTCTTTGAGAGCTATGTTAAACAATTTTTTTCACTTCTGTAACCAAATACCTGAGAGAAACAATTTAAATGAGGAACGATTTTGTTGTTATTTTTTCAAGACAGGATTTCCCTGAATCCCTGGCTGCCCTGATATTCACTCTGTAGTGAATCTGCCTGCCTCTTACCTCTTGGGTCCTGGGATTAAAACCATGCACCCCTGGCCAGGCTGTGGTGATGCATGCCTTTTAGTCCAGCACACAGGCAGCAGAAGTAGGCAGTTCTCTAAGTTTGAGGCCAGCTGGGTCTACAGAGAGAGAGTTCCAGGACAGCCAGGGATACTCAGAGAAATCCTGTCTTGAAAAAAACAATACAGAGAGGGAGAGACTCAGAACTAAATGATGCCTAATAGCTCAACAGTTACTGAAATAGTTCACTGACGCACTTAGGGCTGGGATGTTACTCAGTGATAGGGAATTGACTGGCACGATACAGCCCTGGGCTCAGTCCCCAGCACTACATACAAGACCAACAAAAATTCCTGCACTTTGGGCTCAGTGTCTCAATCCCATGGATAAAATTGTCCTCTCTAAGATGGTGCAAAAGAAGACTCAATGGGACACCCATAGAAAGAGGGCTGCAATCCTTCAGAACGTGGCTCAACGCTTAAGAAGCTGTCCACGTATTTTCCACCTGGAGAAGCATCAAAGTACTGAAAAGCTTAAAAATAAAAGTCTTCCTTAGTACTGCCCTATATGTGAGTAAGTGGGCCTAGAGAGAATCTACCAACTCAAAAAGGACCACCCAGAGAGGACAGGACGCTGAAAACTGGATTCGTACCTAGCAGTTAGGGGAAGAGGGCCAGGGACGGAAAAGCCTGCATGTTCCTGCCAGCCCTTAGTCAGTGTCTTATTTAGGGATTCTATTGCTATGGGTGACGGCTACTCTTGGTTGTCAGCTTGACTACATCTGAAATGAACTACAATCCAGAAATGGAAGGCATACCTGTGAGATTATTTCTGCTTGGTTTGAAGTGAACAAATCCACTTCTAGTCTAGACCTTTGAGGGGGGAGACACAACTGTAATCTAGGCCACACCTTCTTCAGCTGGAAGCCTACATAAGGACATGGAAGGAAGCCTTTGCTCTTTGCCTGCTTGCCCTCACTTTGCTAGTACACCCATTCCTTCACTAGCATTGGAATCTACTTTGGGATCCCAGTGCACACTGAAGACCGGGTGAGACATCCAGCCTTGTGGACTGAGTGACTACTGGATTCTTGGACTTTGTCATAACCAGCCATTGTTGGATTAGCTGGACTGCAGCCTGCAAACCCAATATATGGTCCAAGGATGAGTCCAAGATTTGACTCATTCACTAAGATGAGTGGGGAATGTAACAGGGCACCAGACATAGTAAGCCCCCAGACATTAGCAAGCTTGACTCCACAATGAAAGTACCATTCAGGCTGGAGAGCACTGCATGTAGCCGGGCAGTAATGGTGCAGGCCTTCAGCGCCAGCACTGAGCAGAGGCAGGAGGATCTCTGAGAGTTCAAGGTCAGCCTGGTCTACAGAGCTAGTTCCAGGACAGCTAGGGCTTTTACAGAGAAACCAAAACAAATAACAAAAACCCACAGCATGTAGACAATACCACCTGCTGAAACTAAAACAAAGACCTAATCCATCAAAGTTCTTAGTTCTGGGAAAGTCACTAACCTTGCCTTTTAACTTCAGTAGTTCTGCTTCTGGCTAACTGTTCTTGTTAAATGAAGTATGGCAGCCCAGGACATGGCTTTTGTGGCTAAAACCTCAGCCTGAGAAACCCTCAGTGCTACCCTGGGACCCTGAACACCCAGTAGCTGATAAAGACATCTGTTGGCTCAACCCCATGTCTGAGCAGTCTTCTGTTAAATACCCCACCTTAGATGATGTGCTGGCCTGAGTGGTCCACTCTCAGACATCCACGTGGCCACTCCCTCACATCCATATTCAAATGGCACCCTGCAAAGGCTTTCACAGTTAACACTCTAAGTTCATTTTCCATCCCATTGTTCTCCAAACAGAAAAACAGAGCCCAGGGCCCAGAGATACTTGAAGCCTGCCTGTACCAAATGCAACATCAGAAAGATCATGTGGTACTGGCACCTCCTGTGCAGGAAGAGCAAGTGCTTGTTAGTCTTCTGTGTGGCTCTAGCAGTAACTAGAAATTAATTAAAAAAAAGACAACTACCAGGGCTTACCTCGTGACTGCACATATAAAACACAAGGCACAAACCAGGACTGGGCAGTGATACAGAACACAGCAGGGACAATTAGGAAAAATGATTGAGAAAGTAAGTTATCTTCAAGTTGGCAGCTTGGTATGGTAGTAAAAGCCTCAATCCTAAATCTAAGAGATTGAAGAGTTCAAGGTCCATCTCTAGAGGCTCAAAATACCCAGTAACCCCCAGGGTTGAAGATGCAGCCAGTGCTGGTGGTATGCTTGCTAACTACATAAGCCCTATATTCAGTTTCCAGGACCAAACCAACTCAGGACTATAATCACAAGTGGCACGGGCAAGGTTATCCTCAGCTATTTGAAGCCAGCCTGGGATATTAAGAGCTGTTTCAAAAACAGAACAAATCTCACCATGCAATTGCAGCACATGACTTTAAAACCAGCACTTGGGGGAGGCACAGTTCCAAGACAGCTGGGGATACACAAAAACCTTAAAAAAACAAAACCCCCAAACCATTACTTCTCAGGGATCAGCATTCATGAGTACAACCCATACACACGTACTCATTTCTCAAAATGTACTTTTAAAAGGACACAAACTGTGTTTACTGTTGATTTCTGGTTCTCCCCACAAAGCCACATGGCTGTGATCATACCTGGAATACATTACCTAGCACAACTGGGTTATCAGGTCTTCAAGGTTCTTCCACAATGTGTATGGTTGTGGCCTGGAAATCACTAACACTTTCAAGGACAATTACATGGCTCTTTAGATCACAACAGCACTTGCCCCTTCACCAACATGTAATATACCCACCATTTGGACTTCACAAAGGGGTGCTATATCCCGAGCTTAGTATACTTTGGGATTTGTCATTGAACAAACCTCAGGCTGGAAAATGAATCCCTTTTAGCTTCTGAAGACCCATTATAAACAGTCCAAGGGGTTTCCTAGGACTTCACATACCTGCTAATTGTTTCAGAATATTTTTTTTGGTAACTACTCTTAACTCGGCCATGCACAAAACTATTTTACAGCAGACAGCATGATGTTCAGGGTCTGTCAAGATCTATATCTGACCCTGTAAGGAATTCCTTGTGAACAGTTTACCCTGTAGCTAATGGCTTCTACAGTGGGAAGTCGTTCAAACCCACTGGACCAACACACCTCATAACTATCCATCAGGTACCACTGTCATGGATGACGGCGCACACCCTTAGTCCTAGCACTCACTCAGGAGGCAGAGGAAGGTGGTTCTGAGTCTGGTCTAGGGTCCAGTAGAGAAACCCCTCTCCAAAAAATGAAGCAAAAAGCCCTTACCTGTGTGTCTCACCATGGTTTATACAACTAAGCAACCTGGCAGCCACCCCAGGAGACTTGGCTCTACTTCAGTGTTTCAAACTAGTTGGTCCTTATGCTTTTGGCAAGCTCTCCCTCTGGAGATGAAGTTAGGGGTCCACTTAACATCTTCCCCTTCACTGCAACTCAGACTCTTGTAAGCAGTTCCTACTTTCTGGCAGTGCCCAACCACCAAGCTCTAGCTTCTCACCAACAGTAAAGATGGAGCCGGCACAATCACATTAAACTAAGAGGCATTTGTTGTAAGTGAATTTAAATGCACTTTATTTTCAGACAACCTACATGACATGTTCTTTCTTTAAAAAAAGAAAAAAAGAAAAAAACAATGTCTCCACTCCAAATAAATCATGGTCAAAATAAAAGCTCAAGATGAAATCAGTCCCATTTGTCCTAAGTCCTGGTGTTGTGTGGATGGTAAGCAGCCGCCAGCTATGGTGACAGGTGATAGATCCAATTTGTTACTGCAAAACAAGGAGATGGCATTAAGAACTACCCCCAGCTCCAACACACTAACTTTCCTACTATATAAGTGTACTCCCCAATTCAATCTGGACTGCCACAAAGACAGGCAGGAAGCGCGGGGAGCATTTTCTTTGGCATCCTAGTGCAAACCAGGAGAACAACCACACTGTTCCAGGTCTATCAGTGGATGCCAACTAGCTACCCTCTCCTAGCCAGCAGCACTCAGTAGCCATTGTCTGAATACTACCACCCCATAGCGCTCACCCATTGTCTTCAGTATAGCTCTAAGCTCACCTTCCACCCAGGCCCCCAAACCTAGTTCCTTCCCTATAGAAGGCAATTCTGCCTTCAATTCTAAAGAAATCCCAAGGCACAACATGAAATGGACGTGAGCCCACTGTGGGCAGCTACTGCAGGGCCACACTCATTTTGCCTATGATTATTTATCCCAGGCTAGTATCAAACTATGCCCCTGCCCACACCTGACCTGAGTTTCAGAGCTTCCTGCCCTCACTTGGTCAGTAGTGTTTTTCTGAGCACACTACCAAGGAAGCTACTCTACCTCCACACTTCCAGGCAGTATTCTCTTCAGGTCCCACAAGAAGCCTAGATTTCACCACCAACAAAGCTTCTTTCTGTAAAACCCATGCCTACCTCTGTAAATGGCAAAGATCACTTCTAATATCAAGATGTACTTACACATTTTTCCATCTCTAGGCCATCCTTAAAGAAAATCATGAATGGAGTCACACCATCTTCACGGTAGTCCAGGAGAGCAACCATGCCATCTGGATTCATGTTCTCACCAATAAAAAACTTAAAAAAGAAAAACAAGTAGCAAATACCCAGAATTAGACTGTTATATACTCACAAACATAAACCAAAATTAACCTTAAAAGGGAGATTCACAACAGTTCCAAGCCAACAGCCGCTAGCCTAGCCAAGTGTGTTGGCACACACCTTTAATCTCAGCACCCAGCAGACACGTAAACCTCCAGGTTCAAGGCCAGCCAGATCTCAATGAAGAGTATCAGCTGGGCTCACGCCTTTAACCTCAGGAAGCTGAGGTGGGTGGATCTGGGGAAGGGGGGGGGTGGTCAAATCTAGCCTGGCTTATACAGTTGAGTTCTGGGTCAGGGCCATGTTACAAACATAACAAAACAAATCTCTTCTGTTCCCGTGGTTAAGACTGTACACCCTTTGATTTATTTACCTGGTAGTTATTGAAATTAGCAAGGATGTGCTTAATTTGCTCTGCAGCCCCAGTCATAAAAGGCTTTACTCTTTCAGGTTTCTGTTCTTCAAGTTTGCCTTTAAGTCTAAAATAGTACATTAAACAGGCCATTAAAACATTGAATTTTCAGCAAAATCACTTTAAACGAATACAAACCCCAGCTAGGTCTATAAGGCCAGCCTGGTCTATAGAGATAGTTCCAGGACAAACAAAAACAATACAAGCCCCCAAAGTAAAAACAAAAAGGTTACTGTCCAACAACAATAATGAAACTATTCAAGAACGGTAGTTCCAAGAATATCAACTTTTAAAGGGTTTCTGTTCTTCAAAGTTAAAGACGGATTGTAGGCTCACTTTACTGTATAACATTGAGAAAGGTCCTCTTTTCTCAAATTCTCTATAACCAAAATTCCAAGTAGACACAACTAAGTCTCTAAGACCCTGACCACCAAAACTGGATGTTTATCTCACTTACGATTTCATGTAATCTTTAATGTACTTTTTGTAGGCCTCTTTTGTGAAGCTGGTTTCTTGTAAGTGGTGGTTCATAACAATATCAACACCGGTGACTACTGTGCTTTCGGTACCTTCGCCCTCTGGGCCTTCAGCGGAAGCATTCCCACCAATGAGCGAGTCATCGATGTTACCTTCTGTTCTACTGACCATCTACGATAAGAAAAAAGCAACTTATTGCAAAAAACCCACCTCCAACTTACCTTCTACACTCCGGCAATGATCTGTCAGTCAGTTCCCTGAAACACCTCAACCCGACAAAAAAAGAATCGTTGCCCGGACAGAAAACGAAGGCCAAGAAGTTGTGTTGTGGGCTTTCGGATCGCCGTGGGTTAAGAGCACACAATGCCAAGATGTGTTAAATAGAGACAATATGTCCCCGATCGCCCGGAAGGAGGATGGGCGCTGAGTTCGCGGACCTATTTCCAGGCTCGGCTCCGCCTCCACTTTTCTAGAAAAACCCAAGGCCGGAAAGAGCGTCTCCCCCGCCTGGAGGCGGCTGGGAGCATTGCACGAGCTCCGGCGGGCGGGCGAGCCGCAATCCCAGCCCGGCCGGCCGCCTGGCCGGCCTCCCCGCGGGGACCCGCTCGCTCACCTTGCCCTCCACCTCCAGGCACAGCCCGTCCGCGATCTCCCGGATCTTGTAGATGTCGGAGAACAGCTCGTCATCTGAAGGAGGAGGACAGAGAGCCGCCCGTCACCCGGCGAAGGCCCGCCATTTCCCGCGCCGGCTGGGCGCACGCGGCGACTCCCGGCCCAAGCTCGGCGCTCGCGCGCCGGCCTCCCCCGAGCCCACCCGCACCCAGACCCGCGGGGCGGCCGGGACTCACGGCTGATGAGGTCCCGGTAGATGATCATGGTGGCGGCTGGGGACGGCGGCGCTAGCCTGACAGCGCGGAGCGAGCGCGGTGCAGCCGGAGCGGCGCTCGGGGGGAGGGGGGAGCGGGCGGAAAAGGCCGACTCGGGCGCTCCCCAACCTCATATAGAGGGCACGTTCCTCTACGTCATCGCCCGCTGCGCCCCCGGAAGTGCCGCAAGCGGTGACGTGGCACGCAGCGCAGCGCGGGGGCGTGGCCGCGTCACGGCCCGACGGGCATCCGGGGACTTGGCGGGGACAATGCGGCGTTCCCCTGGGTGTGGGTGCGCGCGGCGGGCGGGCAGGCGGGCGGGCGGGGGCGGGGTGCCGGGAGCGCGCGCCCGGGGCCGCTTGAGTCACCTCTCGGGAGTGGCCCTGGTGTAGCTGCCCCCGCCTCCTGCCGCCCCGCCCCGCGCCGCGCCGCGCCCAGCAGCGCAAGTTCCCGCCCCTTTCTCGTAAAGGAAATGTCAGCGGAATTGGACGCCTGTGTCCCGGGCGCCTGCGGGGACTACGGGGACAGCTCTGGGCTGGCGTCCCGGATCTCCGGCATCTGGCCCACGGCTGTCCACGGCCTTCACCGGGCTTGCGTGGGGAGGGAGATGTCGCGAGGCCTCTGGTCTCTCCACCGGGTGCCGGCTGTCAAAGCCAGCTGGTGGGTCGGGCTGGACAGCGCTCTGGGCTCCAAAGACGTTCTTTGTTAGAACCAAGTTTCTGCGTTGTCACTTTTATCCCTGGTGCTTTAGGGTTAAAGAGGCCAAAATGAGGAGCTTCCCACTTGTCTGGGTGACTTGAAGAGTTGTTACATCCATTAGGAAGTACAACACACATACAAGTTTTCAGTTTTGCCATTCTGGTAAACATGTTTGACGGGATGAAATCACAAAGTTTCTTCCATTCCAAATTTGGTTGTAGTCTGTTGTTTGCTTAGTGTTGGGGATTTTTCTCACTTGTCACACTTAAGAACGACACGGCCAGTCCTACCTGTCCTCGTAGAAAACTTCAGACTAGTATGTCAAAGGAGCAGGCTTACACATTAACAAATTGTCATAAATACAGCAATAACGCATTCGTATTGTGAAAGATCAGGATAAAGATCAGGAAGGATTAAATCACAACAGCCACTTAAGAAATGGGAACCCTTCAAGAAGATGGAGGGGTCTAGTCTAGCGCTTCTCTAGACACACTTTTTAAAAGCCACAAGGTAACTGAAGTAAAAAGTGGGTAAAGGCGCTCAGGAAACATGGACATATAACATATATAATCGATTGCTGGTCAGTGACTTTGCATTCTCAATTATTTCTGGGTTATGTGAATTCTTAGACATCCCAGGCATTTAAGATTTTCAGATTATTCAAAAACACATTGGTATAGAACCTCAAACATCACCCTCTTAACTTCTGTTTTCTGCATCTTATTATCAAATGATAGTATTCTTCACATCATTAAAAAAAAAAAAACACAAACAGAAAAGCCTGCCATGTGGAAAAGAATGGAAGACTCCGACCTGACCTAAACTGAAATAGCTCTGTTACCAGTCCTGTGATCTTGGGAAAGTCTGTCTCTCTTGAGCTTCAGTATAAAATGGAATTTCTGTGACTTAAGTGGGAAACTAGCTGGTATGCTTGACAGGTCACAAATACATGTGGGATATGTATGTGATTCTTTTTTTTTTTTTTTTCAAAATATTTCTGGAATTGTTACTGTCAGGCCCAAAAGTCATTTGTCTTGAATTTCTTTTGGACCTAACAGTTACCCTTCCTCTTACTCATCTGTTTATGTTGCCTATGATGGTCAGCATTAACTGACTCTGTGGATCAGACAGGCCTGGAAATCAAGGTTCTCCTGCCTGGGCATCAGTAGGGCTAGGGTTACAGGTGTGAGCACCCACTCTTATCTCAGAATATTAGATGAGGAAAAAAAAATGCCTAACAGGCTGGTGTAGAGTAGAAAGTAGTAGTCACTCAGGATGTTCTGATGAATTAGAAGGTTGATGGATTTGGAATATGATTAGTTAATTGGGTCAGAAAATAGATAAGGAGTCAGTCAAACTGGAGTATTCCTAGTAGTTTGAAAACATTCACTTTGAGATAATGTGATAAGGTCTTACCCTGTAGCCCTGACTGGCCTGGAACTAGCTATACAGACCAGGCTGGTCCAGGCAATGGTTGGCACACGCTTTTAATTCCAGTGCTCGAGAGGCAGAGGCAGGCAGGATTTTTGTGAGTTCAAGGCCAGCCTGGTCTACAAGAGCTAGTTCCAGGACAGGCTCCAAAGTCCACCCTGTCTCGAAAATCAAAATGAATGAAATGGAGGACTAGGTATGGTAACTCTACAAATTTGTAATCCCAGGATTGAGAGTTGAAGAAGGGGTTTGAGGTCCTCTTCAGTTACACAGGTTCTGGACTACCTGAGGAATTGTCTCAAAAACAAAAGCAAACAAACAGCTGTAAACAACAAATAATATATGTAATGGAATAGCAGAATTCTGCGATCCTCTCCCCATTCTGAGAGGTGCCTGATGACTCTTTATATAGAGGACAAAAAAGAGTACAATGAATTGAGCCAGGTGTGGTGGCACACACTTTTAATC